GCATATATGGTAATCATTGGACTGTAGCACTTAAACCAAAATATAAGAAACAAAAAATCTAGGTAAAAACAAATTTTAAATTGCCTTCAAGAATGGGAAAGGGAAACAGCACCAGCCAGCCAGCCTGCCATCCATCCATCTATCCCCCAGACCACATATGTGTGTGCGTTGATGTATGTGACCTGTCTGTCCTAAAAATCATTCCGTTTGCTTGATTCTTTGTGAAAAGTGATTCATTTGTTTGCTATGCCGAGTAGTATTCTCCACAACACTTGGTTTTTGTAATGCCTCAGATATCTGCTGAATGGTTTTAAATAACCATTGCAAAGGTGCAACAATTTACAGAGAACCACCATATTTTTTTGGTGGCCTGAGACAAAGGAGAAATGATGCAGCGACCTGAGATTTTGTTGCAAAGTTTACAAACTAATTTTAGCTAGTTGTTTTTTTTTTTTTTTTTTGTTGCTGGTAATGTCTGTCAAACAGATGGAGAGAGACATAAACGCATGGACGGACGCACGGGCAGACGGACCAACATTTAAGTTAGCAAGACTTGTCACAAACGGCTCATGATAGATGTGATATTGCCAGGAAAGCATATCTTCTTCTTCTGCTGAAGCAGCAGCACATGAAGCGCAGAGACACCTCTATATATTGGAAGAAAAATATGCATGTGTGCCGCATACGTTGTGCGGTATTGATCAGGGCCAACACAAATGTGCTATCAAACAATACAACATTGTATGATTGAAGAATTTTTTGGGTGGGGTGGACAACTTTGCAACAATGTTTCAAAAATAATTTTGTGGTCGAAAAAATTTGGCCAAGAACTAAAAAAAAACTAGCAAATCCCATACATTCTACTTCATCTCCAAATGATACTCTTAAAATAAACTCTTTTGATAATTGGTTTTAAACAGAGCACAGATTTGCTCGTTTTCACTAGTGACTGAAATTCGCTCGCGAGCGTGAATGCTCGAAAGGTGGGAGTTTTATACGGAGTTTACTTTTCACTCATTTGTTTGGGTTGTGAGTGCTCCCGTGTCACTTCTGTTTGAAAAATTAGAGCGGTGGACGAATTGCTCGGAATAGAGCTAGAATTCATTTTACTCTATGCTCGAATCCGAATTATGATGGTTCTGCAATGGTGCATAAATTTAACTTTAAATGCAAATATGTCAAATTTGGATAATTCATACAATGCTATTTTAATATTTTAACAACTTATATGTTTTATTGATTGAACGTACATAGGTTTCTTTACATTTTTTATGTGTCGGGAGCTTTTTTGCTTGCGAGCAAAAACACACCAAAACTAATTAAACTTTCTGCAATTTTATTCCACATTTTTTTGCTATTTTTTAAATTGTTCACAAAAAATCTCACCAAAATTCCATTGCCATCAATAATCAATTCCCTTTGAGCATTACTATTTACTGCACAAAACGGCTATTCATTTTGACGTTATTGTTTATTTTTTTTATTATTTTTATTTTGTTCTCCTCTGTTTCAAGCTCCATAAAACTTTAACCAATTCATGTTTCATTGAATTGTATTTAACGATTTTTTAACAATTACTTGGCAATTGTGTGAAATTTATAACTATCGAAAATACAAAATAAAAATCCATGTGTATTTACATAACCACAACGAATCGAAAATAAAAGCCAAAAATAAAACTAGGAGATGGGAACATCACACATCCAGGGTGGGAGTTATATTCTCTTTTGTAGTATAAATCTAGCATTATGCAGGCGTTGCATTGTAGCCAAAGGCTAGGCTTTTGTTAAATAATATACCGAACATTTTTATTTAAAATTAATACCCGAAAAAAGCAAACAAGCGGCATGGGGAAAACTGCCGAAAAAAGGCTTTGTTCTACAGGACCCCTTGTCCATGGCAGCAAGCACATAGCCAGCCAGCCAGTCAGACATTCAGAGGAGAAACAAATAAATGTGGCCTTTAAAAAAATGTTGCCCAAAAAATTTGTTTGTTCCATGAACAGAGAGAAAGAACATTGTTTTCTTTTTTTTTTGGAAATTTATTTGTATTTTATTTCCTGCCCAGCATTTATTCGGGGGCTATGGGGGCCCACAAATTTTTACCCAAAAGGTATTTTTGCATATGTTTGGCGTATGTTGGCTTGGCTTTGGCTTTCTTTTTTGGATATTCAATGTTTTTTTTTTTTTTTGTTCATTTGCAATTGAAACTCAAAAAACATTCCATGCAATTTTCAGTTTTACAACTGTTTCGAAAGCAATTCCATTCTTATTTTTTGGACAACATCATCTACTTGATTTTATATTGTTTTGTTTTTTTTTTTCGATTTTCTTTGGCCAGGAGGGGGCGAGTAGCAAAACGAGATATTTTTACATGTGAGAGATAAAGTGTAAAAAAAAAACAAAGAAAATCCTATTGGCAAACAATTTACTTAACACAGTAAAACATATAGGCCTGTGTGAAGAAAAGGCTACCATAAAAATATATGTATGTAAATCCCTTTCAATACAATACAATTTGGAAGATACAAGAAACAATTGAAAAATAATTTGTGCGAAACTCCAAAATTTTCAAATTTGGAAAATGATTTTAAAGACTATTGCAACAATGGGAATATGATGTTCCTGCAACACTATAATCTTTTTGAAAAATAATTTGTGCGAAACTCCAAAATTTTCAAATGTGGAAAATGATTTTAAAGACTATTGCAACAATAGGAATATGATGTCCCTGCAACACTATAATCTCTTAATACTTTAGTTTATAAAATTAATCAAATTTGACGAAACTTCCATATTTTTACGTGATTTATTTCTATTATTTTGCGCATAAGTGTATTGTAGAAAGAGGCTTAAATTCTATAGATTTTTGCTTGGCTTCTCTAAATAAAAATTAGAAATTCCCATAAATTTACCGCCATTTAGAATTCGCTCAATGTCCAAATATTTATTATAGCTTTATGTCTTTATTAAAATTAATTTGAAATTTTTTTCGCTGGCTATTATTGATATGTCAACGTGTTCGGCGTTTTTTCCGTTTTTTTTTTTTTTTTTTTTTTGTTTTTGTTAAGGGCCATTTCATCTGTATTTTGCAAGAAGAGAGAAAACGTAGACTACTAAGTCAATTAAAATCTATTAAATTTTCGTGTTTCTTACTTTTCATGGATACAAATTGATTTGGCATAATTGGCCAAATAAATCAACAAATAAACAAAAGAATAACAAATTTAAATGGAATTATTCACATTTTATTGTCTGCATTTTCACGTGTTTTTTTTCTTTTCTTCAAAACCTAGCAGTGATACACCTCCTATTTTCAATTTATATTTTGCTTCCATTTAGAGCCCGCATAGTTTTGACTCTTTGAACTTAACTCCCTTTAATTGATTTCTCTAATTCTTTCCCATCACACCAAGCACAATGTACCTAACCTAACTTCTTATTTTTCAATTCGATGGTCGTCCATAAAAACAATTATGGAAGAAATTTTATGGAGGAATTAATTCTGTTCAATAAAAGTGAAATAAAATAAAAAAATATATTAAATGCCTAGTAAATTTGCAACGGTCACGCATGTCTGTCTGGCTGTAACACAATCAAGGTATACACACAGAGAACCCATATAAAATATGTATTTCTCGTCGTGCCATGTCAGGCAATATGTTGCATGTGCGCACGCCCGCCCGCATGTAACTGTATGCTTTAATATCGCCAGCGTACAGTAAAAGGGCAGGCGCAGAAAAATTCAATACGGCACTCAGCAGCCTGCTGTATGCCGGCTTTTTTATTTATTGTTAATTGAGGTAAATTAAGGTACCTATATGCTGTGATCATCAAATGACATTTGATCAGGATGATGACGAGAGAGAGGGGGAAGGGAGAGCAATTTAATGCCAGCCTTTGGTTCGATTTTTTTTTCTGTTCCTTTTACAAACAAAAGTTCGCTGACTGAAGTGCCGGTCGCTCACATCCAAAATGAATGGAACAGAACTGAACTGAAAAAAAAAAACTGTTACACACAATCTCCTTTGCTTCAATTGAAATTAATGTTAACAATCACCCGTTACTAAATCGCACATTTGTAGTCACCGTTTGCCGTCATACGCTCGTTCTTTGCAGCAGTAATCAAGCAACTGTACTCTGCAGCAATACAAAGGCAGGCGCGCACACAGATAAGGTCTCACTTTTTTATTTTTGTTGTTATAATCAACTCCATTTTTTTTTTTGTTGTTTACCGTTCAAAATTACAGATGAAGGAGGAGCAGGAGGAGAGTGCAATCAAGTCAGCCAACCAACCAACAACCATCTTGAGATTGTTTTTTTTTACACTTTCTTATATGCCTCACCATGACTTGGCAGGTCTCTTTATGCGGTTGGCTTTCGTCCTACCTACTCGTCGACCACCTTCCGCTCCTACCGAGTCAGTCAGTGAGTGTTCCGTCATAAGTAATGCCCAGCTTGACTTGAAGAGTTGTGTATGTGTGTGTCTATAGTTATCATTTCTTTTGAGTTTTGCTTTTGTCTCACCTTCTTTGGTGAACAGGCCGCAATATTTCTGTGCGTACAATAAAGCAACAATAACAAAAAACAGGAATATGGTGGAATTCAACATGGTGATCTTGGAAGACCTTTTGTTCACAACAACAACATGAACATTTAGAAAAAAAAAATGAAGTCAACAATTGAGTCCAACAACAACTTGCTTTGTTGTCGAGTTTCCTACGCCTTGTTTAAGCAGAACTCAAAATGAGATCATCGCCAGTGCAGACTAGATTTGGAGAAAAAAAAAAAACTTTGTGTATACCTTAAAAAATCCCCCAATCAGCCAAAGAAATGGTGTTTCTTTTATCGAAATGGCCAATTTATTTTGATTAACTAAAGTTTTTTTTTTCCTTCTTCTGACGCCCCTCCCCCCACCTCAGCCATTGTAATAATGAACATTTCCATGAAATTCTTCGTTTAATTAATGATTTTTATCTTCCTTTTTCTTTCTACTTACAGTTCCTTCATTGACCTCCACATTACATCATCATCATCAGTCAAAAAGCAGTAGTGCCGGCAGCACCACTGTCGATGATGAAAACTCCAATGGTGCCCCAGCTTCATCGTTGGGCGCCACTTCGCCAACACCACAACAGACGGACTTTATGGTTACATGTCCACAGTGCCATGTGAGATTAAATGGCTTTGAGGTAAGTATTTCCATATTGGTTTTGAAATGGAAATTTAAATAGATATATATACGGTTATAAGTAACTTGATTAGTATCAGTTTAGGTTCTTATAAACACATTTAGTTTTATTAAATTTATAAAAAAAAAACAATGATTTCAGAAAGCATTGGAATAGCTTCTTTTAAATTGTTTTCGAATTTCCAGATTAAGCATATTGACCGAATTATTGATTTTTTGTATCAAAAAGGTAGATTTTGGTTTATTTTTTATTGTCAATTCGAGATGTTATTCTTAAGTTCTCAAATTCATTTTCAAACGATCTTTTTGCCCAATTCAATATAAATATTCACTGAAAACAACTATGGGAACTGTATTCCCTTTCTTTTATTCAAATTGTTCCTTTAGTTCATTTGGATCTACAACTTCCTCTTCAGAAAAGGAATTGTGGAAGCCTATCCGCCTAGTGAACTTAATTGCCCGAATCTATTTGCCATTTTTTTAATGTGCTGCTTAAATGGAAAAAAATCCGTAAAGAAGGATTCTATTTAACTATTTCAGCTGTGTTACTTTTTATTTCAAACAATTTATCATTGCCTATATTTAAAAATTCTTGTAAAGATATAGATTTCAAATCATTCCGAATATTTGCAGCTTGTCATTCAATCCACATTATTTTTTTTTTCTCTTCATTTCAGTCCCTGCGCGATCACATTGCCAGCCAACATCCACATGACAAACTTAATATTGAACCCTCCTATCCCAGTCCGCCAGCTGATCGTGAGCACTTGAATCAAACGACTGGCGAAAATGTCGCAGCAAACACAAATACCGTCGACAGTGATGACAGTAATCAAAGTTCAAGTGAATCGAAAATGTTCAATAACAACAATAACAATAGTCAAGAAAAGAATAACAATAGTATTAATGACACACCCAGCCATCATAACAATCCTTCCGCCCCCAATACACCACCACCCTCAGTAGTTGGTGGACACCAGCAACAGCATAACACCACCAATGGACTAGGAGATTTATCTACATCTCCCTTTGCCAGTCATTTGCCTCACAATTTGCATCCAGCAGCTGCCGCCCAATTCATGGCTGCCCTGGCCATGCAGCAGCAGCAACACCAACAACAAAATTCTGGCAATACTTCACCCACATCCCATTTATTAGGTGGCTTCAATGGTCATCACAATCTGCCTACACATCATCATCATCATCATCCACATCATGCATTGGTCGCCGCCGGTCAGCAACATTCTTCGTCGTTCGTCGATAACGCAACCATGGATACAATGCGTTCCACCTCCAGTCCCGGTTCCTGTGGTGGCAGTGATAACAATTCGGCAGCCAGCAGTATAAGTCCACCGTATCAGTGTATGCACTGTACGGCATTGTTTCAGACACGTCATGAACTGGAGAAACATGAACTAATGCATTCACCCAATGCGCAATCGCCACAGTCGCTGAATGGTGTTAATCAAGTAAGTAGATGATTTTTTCTTTTTTTCATTTTTTTTTCAACAAAAATTGGGAAGGGGGCAAAACCAGCCAATTGTTACAATATTTTAATGGTAAAAAGAATAATGACGGCAAGTGTTAATGATACGTTAAATAAGAAAATGCTTAAAGAACACTTGAAAAAATGAGCTCGTAACTCAAAGTCATAAAATATGAAGAAAAGGGAATATGAAGTGGAGGGGAGGGGAATTGAAAAAATATGAATTCCCTGATCATCAAAAACATACAATGAGTTTACTTTGTTTAGAGTTTTCGAAAAAAATGAGGAACAACTAAAGAAGTACAGCTTAAAGAAGATGTAATTTGATAAGGCCAACATGATCCCCGGGAATTCTTTTTTTCTCTCCATTAAAGGTTAAAATAGCCAATATAATGTAAAGTAGGCTTGAAAATCTGCGATTTCTTTCAGTGATTCATATCAAGAAACAACTATCTCGTTATTTATAAAAAAAACCGCAAACGTAGAGATTTTATTTTTTGTTATTTTTAAAACCAAACCACAAAGGTTTAACTCTCAACATCCGTCCAGCAGTCGCCCACTCCTCTGCAATGAGATTTTATACCTTGTACTTTTTATTTTCCTTTCATTTCTTTTTTTATTTAATCTTAAGTGTGATCTTTGTACTATAGTACAAATTGTGGCCATCTACCGAGAATTGAGAACAAAGCGTAAGCTTTGTTTAGCATTTAAGTGTGTACCTCAAGAAGCTGAGCTGGTTCGTTGTTTCGATTGGAATGCTGTTTAAAAATGGCTTCTTGTGGCTTTCCCATGTGAAATGTGTTCGGCCATTAAGCCACACACACACACAAAATTGACTTGTGACTTTTGAGTCATAACAAACAAGCAAAACAAAAATGATTTGATTGAAGTTATTGTATACTTTGCTTGATTAATCGAGCAAGCCATGAATGAAAATCATCAGTCTGGTTGGCTGAGAACGAAAAATCAAAGAAATATTTATGGTATTTCCGGTTCAAAAAGGGGAAATTTTTTTCTTGTCAGATTTGAGGTTAGGGGAACGTGGAATCTCAATTTGGTTATAATTATAACTTTAATGGCAAATATGTTATATATACAGGGTTAGATAAAAAAAGAACTGCAATAAAGTCAAACGCCATAATTTTTACATTTTTTTTCTTTTAATTTTTTGAATGAAAACAAAAAATATCGGAAATTGCATCAAATTTTAGAATAAGTTTAGATTTGTTCGAATTGGTCACCTTTGGAACGAATTATGGCCTTCAAACGGCCAATGAAACCGTCACACGTTGCCCGAATGTGGCACTGCGGTATTTTTGCCCATTCCCGGCGAAGCGCTTGCTTGAGGTGATCGACACTTTGGTATTTTTTAGTGCCAAAATTGCTTTCCAAAATAATTCAGACACAATAGTCCAACGGGTTGGTATCGGAAGATTTTGATGACCATTGTGCTCTAGAAATGAAGCAAGGAACCTAATCTTGTAACCATTCTTGGGTGGCACGCGCTGAGTTCTGTTGGAATGTCCAAGGTCTGCGGCTAAAATTGTTGCGTGCCCATGGCTTTAATACATCCTCCAGAATATTTTCGCGATAATATTCGGCGTTTATTCTGATGCTATGGTCGATTAATACGAGCGGAGAGCGACCATGGCCTGCGCTTGAGTTTGGTTGCCAACCGAAGATGCGCATTTTCAGCTCTCATCGGAGAAAATCAAATTTGGCAGTTCACCACTTTCGGCCAAGCGAAGCAACTATTTAGCTCTTTTGAGTCTATTTTTTTCTGTTGTGTTGTAAATTCTTGCATTTTTTGGAATTTCAATGGCTTTACCCCGAACTCATTTTTCAATATTTTCCGAATGATATGCAATATAATGATCTGTCACTGGAATAATTTTAACAGCTGTCGGACGAGTGGCTTAGAAATGGACTATCCTGTAAACGTTACTAGTTTTGAGGATTTATTATAAAAATTACGAAATCCATTTTTAAATAATTGAATTTTGTGAAGGTAGCGAAATGTTGGATGGTTATTTCATCTTTTAAAATCATTGAGAAAATACTACCTTTTATACAACCTTCTCGGATTTGCCCTTTTTTCCCTTGGCCTACAAGAGAACACTAGCCACGTTTATAAAACATTTTGGCAATATTAGTTTTAGTTTCCGTTTTCGTTTCATTTTTTTTATTTTCATGGTTTGTAGACGCCCCCTAATTTTTACTCCAGGCCATACTTTGCATAAAATCAAATGTCTAACTTTTTGGCATCACATACATATATGTATGGGATGATTGTATGGATAAATATTGCTAAACTGCCCTCGAGACTTGAGGAACAAAACCAAATATCATCATTGCCAAAGGTAGAATGTTAGTTGCCTGATGAAATCTTTTTTTACGTACATTTCTCTCCTCCCTTTGTCCTAACACCCTCTAACACAGGAAGTAAAACATGCATTTCATATCTTGGCGTTCTTTTTTTTTTAAGTAAACAATCTGTGAAGATTACTTCATATATTGTAGCAGGAAAAAATGACTTCTAGCAAAACAAAGAAAAAAAAAAACGAACCACACATTAGAAATGAATTTATGGCCATGATAGTAGGCAAAGGGAGGCGGGGTAATAATACAAGTGACCCATACTTCTTTCATCCATTCATGGGACAGGGGTGTGAGAGCTGTGTGAGTAAAATTATAATTTATGTTTTTGTGATAGTGTCAAGCAAGCACCTTACTGAAATGTACCAACTAACATCATTTGGACGAGGGTCATAATTTTCATCTTTATATATATTTATATATTTCTTTTTATGATGGCCCAAGACGCCATTTCTTAGAGAAGATGAAGAAAAAAGTTTTTACCTTCTTATCAGTAAACAAAAAATAACAACAACAACATGAAAACTATTATAAGCGTGGCATTTCATGTTGGTTGGTTATTTGGGTTCTTTTTTTTTTGTGTTGTCTCTCCAACCATGCCTAGGTAGTTGTAATAAGAAATCTTATCAGTTCCAGTTACTCGTTGTTATGTGGAATGGTTGTGTAGTGGTGGTGTAGCACTCATCACAAGACAACAATTGAAACTTATGACGGACAGATAAAAAAAAACTCAGTAAAAACTTGTGTTTTGAAACAACACAACGGAGAAAATGATATCTTGCCCACTCGGCGAACCCATTTATGATAGGCCCCCATTCCACCGTATTTACTATAAAAGAATGGCTGGGTTGTTGTATTAGAATTTAGTACAACAACCATCTAACGTTTAGGATTTTTATTATTCTCTTGATAATTTCACTACGAACGGAAATGCACTTGTTGTGGGCAATTCTGGAGTTATTTTTCAAAACAAGAGGCATACGCCTACGTTGTGATTAAATCTGTCATTATTCCTTGGAATGCATTTGTATTTCTTTAAGATAAGGATTCAAAAAAAAATCTTGGACCCGTTAGGAAAAAATGGCGCCCAATATGAACAAAAACTAGCCAATCTTAAATATATATTTTTAGAAGACATAAGTCTATGCTGCGATTCGGTCTGGCATTACGGGATGAGATAAAAAATTGGCATAAAGTCAAATTACATAATTTTTACATTTTTTTTTAATTTTATTGAACGAAAGCAAAAAATGTCGGAAATAGCATCAAATTTTAGAATAAGTTTAGATTTGTTCGAATTGGTCACCTTTGGCACGAATTATGGCCTACAAACGGCCAATGAAACCGTCACACGTTGCCCGAATATTGCTCTGCGGTATTTTGGCCCATTCCCGGCGAAGCGCTTGCTTGAGGTGATCGAAACTTTGGTATTTTTTAGTGCCAACCTTGCTTTCCAAAATACTCCAGACACAGAGATTTTGGTGGCCATTGTGCGCTTGAAATGAAGCGAGGAACCTCATTTTGTTACCATTCTTGGGTGGCCTGTGCTGAGTGCGATGGTGCTGAGTCCTGTTGGACTTAATATTTGCCGAATTGAATAATGTGCTGTCACTGGAATAATTTTAACAGCTGTCGGACGAGTGGCTTAGAAATGACATCAGTCTGAGGTTGGTTGCAATTTTTTCATATCACCCTGTATTCTTTGCATTTTCCGTGTTTTTTATTAACGATTTTAAAAAAAACGTTGGCTCACTATATAAAAAATGCGCCCTGTCGAATTTTAAATATATTTTTCTATAATTGTTTTTTTGGTACCTAATTTCAATAAGTTTAAATGAATTTAATCGGAATTCCTTTAAATGTCCATGCCAATCCCCATTGCCAATACCTATAACATCCAAGCCAAGACTATCTATGAATACAACAATAATAGTAATTAATTTGCTACATTTTCTACAAATTATTTCATTTTTTGTTTTCGTTACAATAAAATCATAAATGAACCTGTGAACAGTTTTATGGTATTGTTTGGCAATTTGTTAACCAACATCGGCCACCAGTGGACACAATAATACAATTATGTGTGAAAACCAATTAATTATGCAAATAGTGGCATATGTTATAGCTTTTGGCGGGTTGCACAGATTAATCGCGTTTAAAACTTATTAACTATTTGCACGAATAAAAAAAAAACAACATACACCCACACATTCGGTATTAAGCTTTGTTGGATTTTCATTCTTGATACAAAATAAAAATTAAAGCAAATTATGAGGTTGAACAACAAAAGCAACTGGAAAAAATTACGCTCTGTTGCGCGCCTATTTAAATCCAGTTAAAACGCACATGTGATATATTTACTATATAAACGGGCTCTATAGCCATCAACATTTCGCTTGCCATATAAAGTATATGGCTAACCACTATGTGGTGACATTTTCAACATTGCAATGCAGCGGCAGACAAAAAAAGCCAGGGAATTCAACTGAAGCCGAGAGTGGACAGCAAGAAGTAAAGTCTGCAAAAGCCAACATTCATAGGTCAAATAAATGAATAGTATCAACAGCAGCTATGCCGCCTTCAAATGCCATTCACCACATGGATTTG